ATTTTTTTGGCCATTCCACATAGCAGATGGGACCTCAGTTTCCTGACCAGGGGTCAAACCTCTGAACCGTGCTTTGGAAGTGCAGTCTTAACCACTGGACCACCAGTGAAGTCCCACTTTTATCATTTTAAAAGGTATTCTATAAAACACTTCTGACATGGGAGAATTCCCCTCTCTCCCCTACAGTTTTATAAAGGAGTAACATGGATGCTGGTGTATATAAATGTCCCCAGGCTTTTCGTCACCTGTCAGGCGTTTGTGTTACTGGCTACCTGGTTATCACAGAAATAACAGTGACTTTTTAATTTTAATTTTTCACCATTTAACTTAGTTATTTCCTATTATGTAACTTTCAGAACAACTTAGTACCTAGGTCAAAAGGAGATTTTACAAAGTTTGACTTATCATGTCATTTTTATTTTTATTAACTTTTTAGCTGAAGTATAGTGGATCTACAGTGTTACATTAGTTCCAGGTGGATAGCAAAATGATTCCATTATTTTTATAATCACAGATTATTCCATTATAAGTTATAATAAGATAACGGCCACAGTTTCCTATGCTACACAATAGATCCTTGTTACTTATCTATTTTATGCACAGCAATTTGCATCTGTTAATCCCATACCCCACATTTGTCCCTCCCCACCCTTTGGCAACCACAAGCTTGTTTTCCATGTCTGTGAGTCTGTGTCTATTTTGTTATCATACCATTTTGTAAGTCATGATTTGCAGTGCAGAATATATATTTGGTTCTTCTTCTTTCTAAAATATTTATTTGACTGGCTGGGTCTCAGTTGCGGCGTGTAGGATCTTGAGTTGTGGCATGCAAACCCCTAGTTGTGGCATGTGGGATCTAGTTCCCTGACCAAGAATTAAACCTGGACATTGGGAGCGGGGAGTCTTAGCCACTGGACCACCAGGATGTCCCATCTTTGCTTCTTAAGGCTACAGCGTGTGTGCGTGCTCAGGTGTGTTCGACTCTTTACAGACACCATGGACTGTAGCCCACCAGGCTCTTATATCCATGAGTTTTTCCAGGAAAGAATACTGGATTGGGTTGCCATTTCCTCCTCCAGGGGATCCTCCTGACTCAGGGATTGAACGATTGGCAGGCAGATTCTTTACCACCGAGCCACCTGGAAATCCCAGGGCTGTAGCACGACTGTTCAAAAAGAGTTCCCTCGTCTTGGAAAGATTGCCAGGTTTCTTCGTCATCATTCATTTTTTTACCATACATTTCACACATATTACATAGCAGAGTCTGGGCTGGGCGCTGAGGCCACAGAGCTGAGATCCACCTTCTTGACTTCTGGTTACTGACTAGTCAGTGGGAAACACACAATCACCATCTGCTAAGAACAGGACAGATGTTGGCACAAGGGCTGTGGATGTTTCCTTGCCCATCCTGGGATGTCAGGAAAGCTTTTCTGTGGGGATATAGTGTCAGAGCTAAAAGTTTTAAGAATGTGATGAATGGTAGGAATTAAGCAGGTGAAGAAGTGGCAGGGAACATTCCAGGAAGAGGGAACAGCACTTGCAAAGAAAGAGTGGAGAGAGAACTCTACCTTCCTGTCTTCTCCTCTCTAAGCTTAATTCGTACTCATCACTGCATCTCTGGTGTCTGTCTGGCATGTCAGAAGTACACATAAATATTTGTTGAACTTAAATGAAATGAACTGCAAATATTTTTTGCTGTCAATAGGATTGTGGCTAAAACACAAGTTCTTGTTTTTGTGGTGTGTATGTTCTAAGCAGGTGTTAAGAAGAGTTAACATTTACCAAGCACTTTCTGAGCTTCCCTGGAGGTCCAGTATTCAAGAATTTGCCTTCCAATGCAGGGCACGCAGGTTTGATACCTGGTCAGGGAACTAAGATCCCACATGTGGCACAGGGCTGCCAAAAAAAGTTTTTAAAAAAGGGAAAGAAAAGAAAAACTTTTACTAAGCACTTACTACCTGCCAGGCCAAGAGCTTTATATATTTACTCATTCATTGTTCACAAGACTCTAGGTAGGTATAATAAGATTATCCCAATGTTACTGCTGAGGGCACAGAGAGGTTAAGAAACTTGTCTAAGCTTATCCAGCTTGTGGGAAGTGGAGCTGGAATTCAAAGCTGGGAGATCTTGGCTTTTGGAGTGAGTTTTAACCTCTATAGTTAGCATTTCAAGACTTTTTAAATGCCTTTTCAGTCTTCTTTTTGGAAAACAAAATAAAAAAATTCTGAATGTCCATTCTCCCTCGACCTCTTTTCTCTTTATTGACCTAAGAATTATTTGGCGTAAACATATAAGTCTAATGGACATTTTCAAAAGCAAGAGGAGGGTTAAAATTAAAGGTAATGTTCTCTTTTATTGTAATATGGTCTTTTAAAAAAAAGGTAAAGGAACTTCCCTGATGGTCCAGTGACTAAGACTCTGCCCTCTTAATGCAGGGGGCCCGGGTTCAATTCCTGGTCAGGGAACTAGGTTCCACAAGCTGCAACTAAAGATCCTGCATGTTGCAACTAAGACCCAAATAAATATTTTTTAAAAAAAGTAAAGAGGGGATAATGGTGATATTATAAATCAAAACGCATTTAAAATTATACTGATTAAGGGGCTTCCCTGGTGGCTCACTTGCAAAGAATCCACTTGCGAGTGCAGGAGACACAGGTCTGGGAAGATCCCACATGCTGAGGGGCAACTGAGGCCATGCACCACACTACTGACACGGTGCTCTAGGGCCCAGAAGCCTCAACTACTGAACCCCCTGCACCCAGAGTCAGTTCTCAGACAAGCCACCACGAGAAGCCTGCGCGCCACAGCAAAGAGGGGCACCTACTCCCTGCAACTAGAGAGAAGCCTGAGCAGCAACAAAGACACAGTACAGTTAAAAATAATAAATTGAAAAATAAAGTTACACTGATTAAAATATAGACATAGTGACCATAGTTAATAATACTGTATTGTATACCCAGAAGTTAGTAAGAGAGTAGATCTTAAAAGTTCCCATCACAAGAAAAAGAATTTGTCACTATGTGTGGTGATGGATAACTAAACTTATTGTGGTGGTCATTTTGCAATACATAAAGATATCAAATCATTATATTCTATATCTGAAAGGAAGATAATGTTGTATGTCAATATCTCAATTTTTAAAAAAGAAATAAAACTATATATTTAGCATGAGCACAGATTTAGGTCCTTCCACTACCATCTATTTCCTTCTCCTCCAGACCCAAGGATCAGTAGGGAAAATGAGAAAGATTTCTCATTTAGAGACAGAGAATCATAAACAAATAATACAAACTCTGCTGCTGTCCCCATTCACTCGGTATTTCCCTGGTATTTCAATTATTAAACCGATTGCCTTTCACATCAGATACCAGAAAGGTGAGAAGAGTTGGATCCTATCTTCCCACTAGGGAAGGCTCAGTGGTAAAGAATCCGCCTGCCAATGCAGGAGACACGGGTTCAATCCCTGGTCTGGGAAGATCCCACACGCCGAGGGACAGCTAAGCCTGTGTGCCACAACTACTGAGCCTGTGCTCGAGAGCCCGGGGACCCCAACTACTGACCGAGCCCGAGTGGTACAGCTACTGAGGCCCAAACACTCTAAAGCCTGCACTCGGACACAAGAGAAGCTGCCTGTGCACTACAACTAGGGAAAGCCCTCACAGCAACGAAGACCCAGCACAGCCAGATAAATAAATAAAATGATTTTTAAGAAGTACAGACAAACTTTTTTTTTAATAGAGAGAAGGAGAACTTTAAGCTTTTTGTATAACTGAAATAAATATATTTTAAATTATTTGATTTAAGCATTAAATTTTATGGATATATCAGGTGTATTTTATCAAACTGGCAACAGAGAACTAAGTACGAAACTCTTGACTGCCTTAGTAACTGGCCTGATTCTGGGAAAGAGATTCTAGACTGGAAGTTCCAATAGCTCTCTACCAAACTTGTCCTGATATTCTACAATTATAAATTTAATATAAAATGTGTAGATTACAAATAGATTAAGTAAAATAAATTTAGGTAAGTACTCCCCAAAGGACACACTCCTGCCATTTAAGGACTCTAAGCTGAGGATTGATACTCTGCTGAGAAAGCTACCTTCACAGGCAAAGACAGCTGCCAGCAGTCTTATGAAGGACGGACTAGAAAGAGACAAATCTGTAGTCAGGGAGACCAGCCCAGTTTGGAGATGATGGAGCAGTAGTTGAGAAACTGGAGAGAAAGAGACAAATTCAAGAGATTTGAAAAAGTGTTAGTTGCTCAGTCATGTCCAGTTCTTTGGGATCCCATGGACTGTAGTATATGGTCAGGCCCCTCTGTGCATGGAATTCTCCAGGCAAGAATACTGGACCCATTCCCTTCTCCAGGGGATCTTCCTGACCCAGAGATCAAAGCCAGGTCTCCTGCATTGCAGGGAGACTCTTTACCATCTGAGCCACGAGGGAAGCCCCTTACTAAGAGACAAAAGGAGAGGATTTGAACGAGAGCTGAGTATCAGACTCAGAGCGCCAGCTTGTGCTGCATGGATCTTGACGGGGCTCCCCTGGTGGCTCAGTGGTAAAGAGATGCCGGAGATGTGGGTTCGATCCCTGGGTCAGGAAAATCCCCTGGAGGAGGAAATGGCAACCCACCCCAGGACTCTTGCCAGGGAAATCCCATGGACAGAGGAGACGAGACCGGCAGGCTATAGTCCATGGGTCTCAGAGAGTTGGACACAACTGAATGACTAAACACACACATACAAGCAGGGAATTAAGAGAAAGTGAATGTCACAGGTGCCAAAGAAGAAGAGGGGACTTTAGAAAGAAATGTGGTCAATGCTCAAGGACACAGAGACAGTGTGTACATCAAAGTGTTAGAAAGTTATACTGGATTGGGCAATAGGGATGTCACCTCTGCCCTCTGTGGGGATAGGTTCACAATTCAGATGGGGCTGGAAGCCAGATTGAAGTGGGTAAAGTAGTGAACGGGAGGATTGTAAAGAGGCAGTGATGATTTCATAGACTGATATTTGCAGAAGGTTGTCTGTCAATGGAAAGAGAGCTTGTGTAGAAGATAGAAGGCCTTTTTTTCTCTTTAAAGACAAAAAGAGTGAGCTTATTCATAGTCTCGGGGCTTCCCTGATGGCTCAGAAGGTAAAGAATTCGCCTGCAATGCAGGAGACCTGGGTTTGATCCCTGGGTTGGGAAGATCCCCTGGAGGTGGGCATGGCAACCCACTCCAATATTCTTGCCTGGAGAATCCCCATGGACAGAGGAGCCTGGCAGGCTATAGTCCACGGGGTCGCAAAGAGTCTGACACGACTGAGTGAATAAGCACATTCATAGGCTCAGGTAAGAAAGCAGTAGGGACGGAGAGAGGCAGGGGATAGAGTGTCTAATGGATACATTAGACTAAAACATCAGAGGAGGTAAGAAAGGTTGGTATCCAGAGTAGCCATGCATAAGTGGTGGAACACTCTCTCGCTGAGTTGGAAGGAGGGCAGGATGGGTATAAATGAAGATATGTTTGGAGTTGGATAGAAGGGCAAGCAATGGAGTGAGTTCCCATCTGCTGATGATTTCTGCGGAAGGTTCATAAGGAGAGTGGTAAAGATTTAGAATCACCATTTAGAAATTTAGGTTGAAGATGGCTGTTTAAAGGCACATAGGATGACTGCACAGCACTGCAGAGGATTTGTCTGTGGTTGGAGGTCATAAACTTACAGTTGTGACGATTTGCAATGGATATGCTAATTGCATGGTTACAGGGGCACAGAAGGTAAGACTGGAATTATGACTGGAATAACAACCAGATTGATCCAGGCAGTGGAATTATAGGCTTTAAAGGTTCTAGGCAAGGCAGACTATTGTCTAAGGTCATATAGCCAATAGGAGTGGAGCTAGATTTGAGTAGCTTGATAACCTTAGCTGCACTTGGAGACTAGGGCGCTGAGTAGGTCAACTATATTGACAGGAAAATTGCCTAGGTCAATGGCAGGCCTTGGAATGAAGACAGAGCCTAAGATCCAGATGCCAAAGTTCTTGGCGAATGAGGCCTGGTTGAACACTTAATGAATATCTACTGTATCACTGTTGAGTTAGGCTTTCAACAGTCAAACATCACCTTTAATTCAATCATGAGAAAGGTTCTTTTAAAATATCATTGTTTTACAAATTAAAACATGTCTAGAGAGAAGCCATGATTTAAAAATTAAAAATAACTTAGAATTAAATATGAATTGAAAGAATGGGATACCACTGTGGAAGTAGTGACAGATTTTATTTTCTTGGGCTCCAAAATCACTGCAGATGGTGACTGCAGCCATGAAATTAAAAGATGCTTGCTCTTTGGAAGGAATGCTATGACAAATTTAGACAGTGTATTAAAAATCAGAGATATTACTTCGCCAACAAAGGTCCGTATAGTCAAAGCTGTGATTTTACCGTAGTCGTGTACAGATGTAAGAGTTGGACCATAAAGAAGGGTGAGGGCCAAAACACTGATGTTTTTGAAAACTGTGGTGTTGGAGAAGACTCTTGAGAGTCCCTTGGACAGCAAGAAGATCCAACCAGTCAATCCTAAAATAAATCAACCCTGACTATTCAATGGAAGGACTGATGTTGAAGCTGAAGATCCAATACTTTGGCCACCTGATGTAAACAGCTGACTCACTCGAAAAGATCCTGATGCTGGGGAAGACTGTAAGCAAAATGAGAAAGGGGCAGGAGAGGATGAGATGCTTAGACTGTATCACTGACTCAATTGACAAGAATTTGAGCAAACTTTGGGAAATAGTGGAGGACAGAGGAGTCTTACATACTAAAGTGCATGGGGTCACAAACAGTCAGACATGACTTAGTGACTGAACAATAACAACACACACCTCCACCAGAGTGGTATGTTTTTTACAACTGATGAACTTACATTGACACTATAATGATGGATACATGTCATTCAACATTTGTCCAAAGGCACAGAATGTACAACACCAAGAGTGAGCCCTAATGTAAAGCCCTCCCTATGGGAGGGAGACAAACTACATGCACAGAGAATCAGTTTGTTTCCCAGGGTCAGCTGGTAACTAGACAGTATTGCCAGAAAGCTAGGTCTTTTTGGCCAAAGATAGGTTTTCCAGAGCAATGTGCATGGAGTCAGTTTAGAAAAAAATAGAACCACAATCCAATACTTTGGCCACCTGATGTAAAGAGCTGACTCATTGGAAAACATCCTGATGCTGGGGACGATTGAAAGCAAAAGGAGAAGGGGGCAGCAAAGGATGAGATGCTTAGACTGCATCACTGACTCACCACCTTCTCACAGCTTACCATAACTTCCCAAACTTTCCCATCTCTCCCCACACCTTACCACACCTCCCCACACCTCCTGACAGCTCACCACACCCTCCCACACCTCACCATACCTGACCAAATCTCCCCACACCTTCCCAAACCTTCCCACCTCTCCCCACACCTTACCACACCTGACCAAACCTCACCACACCTTCCCAAACCTCACCATTCCTTCCCACCTCTCCCCACACCTTACCATACCTAACCAAACCGCCCCATGCTTCCCCACACCTCTCTACACCTCCCCATACCTGATCACACCTCCCCACACCTCATCTATAATAGCTCACTACTCCCACCCTTCCCCACACCACCAGGAGATGGTAGCCACAAGCTGAGATGGGTACTTGGAAGTGAGTTCAGTACCACAAAGACAAGCTATAGAGCCAACAGGCAGGACGAGAGCGGAAACAATCCCCGTAACAGCGGCCAAATATGGTACATGAAGTACACCCTTGTAGGGAAAGATGCAGGACAAGAGATAGAGCAGAAAAGAAAGAAAGAAAGTGAAGTCGCTCAGTCATGTCTGACTCTTTGTGACCCCATGGACTGTAGCCCACCAGGCTCCTCCTGTCCATGGGATTTTCCAAGCAAGAGTACTGGAGCGGGTTGCCATTTCCTTCTCCAGGGGAATCTTCCTGACCCAGGGATCGAACCCAGGTCTCCCACATTGTGGACAGATGCTTTACCATCTGAGCCACCAGGGAAGTATAGCAGAGGGAGGGACCAAAAAGTAGGATGGATAAAACAGGAAAGGGAGGGGAGAGAGGGGAAAATAAAGAAACAAAGTGAATTTGTAAAAGACTATCCTCAGGTCAAGAACACCTTGGTGCTAGTGGCAGGAACTGACACCCTGCCTCTCTCAGTGAGAGTTTATGTTCTGTTAAGACACCTACCAAGGAGGATAGAGTTAACGCAAGTACTACAACGGCTTTAACAATACCTACATCCAAGAAGCAATCTAAGAGGATAAAGTGAAAAACGAAGGACTTAGGGCTTTTAAGCAGTGGAGTCATATATTGTGACTGTGCGTGTGTTAGTCTCTCAGTTGTGTCTGACTCTTGCAACCGCATGGGCTGCAGCCTGCCAAGCTCCTCTGTCCATGGAATTCTCCAGGCAAGAATACTGGAGTGGGCAGCCCTTTCCTTCTCCAGGGGGTCTTTCCAACCCAGGGATTGAACCTGCGTCTCCTGTATTGCAGGCAGATTCTTTACTGTCTGAGCCACTGGGGAAGCCCCATATTGTGACTAGTTGGATATATTTCATTTAATAAATTGGTTGTGATTCCTTCCCTTATTATATTTATTGAATTGTTTTTAAGGAGTCCCTTTTCCCTTTAAAATTTCTCCACTTGAGAATACTAGCAAAATTTTTGTCTGATTCGGAAATACCTGACTGTGGATGGTTTCCACAAACCCTCTTTGCAATCAGTGATCTGGTTCCAGATAGAGAGGAGATGACTGAATGGATTTACCTGGGCTCCTGGAAACCTAGGCAGAGAGAAGAAAGGAATGAAAGCTGCTGAGTTAAAACCAGACTGGAGATGATTTACAAGAGTATTTTCTGTCGTCAAGGAGATAACTTGGGGAAAATTCTGTTTTGTATTGTCAAACAAATTAGTAATTGAAATTGATTCCTTGTCATTGATTTTTGATTCCACATTCTTTTCAGTTGACATTAGTTACAATTTTGAGAACAGTCAAGACTGAGTGCTTACTATGACCGTTATCTCAGACCTTTAGAGAGATGTCACTTTGGAGGTCTAGTCTAGCTCTTCTTTTTAAAGGAGGCGGAGAGAGGTTACTCCCCGACAGTGGCAGGCGCAAGACCAAAACCTGGGCATCATAATTTCATTATATCAGCATTCGATGCTGCTGTGGCTGGGTTCCCCCCCAAGCAGGTTCTGAGACAAATATTCATGCAAGGAATTTATTGGGGGAACTTTCCTGGTGGTTCAGTGGTTAAGAATCTGCCTGCCACTGCAGGGGACACGGGTTCGATTCCTGGTCCGGAAAGATCACACATGCCTGAGAGCAACTAAGCATGTGAATCACAACCACTGAGCCTGGGCTCTAGAGCCCACAAGCCAAAACTACTCAAAGCCTGAATGCCTACAGCCCATGCTTTGCAACCAGAGAAGCCATGGCAATGAGAAGCTAGCTCACCTTAACGAAGAGTAGCCCCTGCTCACTGCAACTAGAGAAAAGCCCGCTTGCAGCAACAAAGATCCAGTGCAGCTAAAAGTAAATAAATAAGTAAAATGTTTTAAAAAAGAAAAGAAATATATTTGGAACACACAGGGACGTGCCCTGAGGAGTAGAACAGAGTGGGGCAGGGGGAGGAGTGACTTAACTTCCAGGTTGTCTGGAACTGGGATGGTCCTTCTGAGTTATTCTGACTCGAGGCCATGGCCTGAAACCTCTAACACCTACTCTCTAAATAACCAGTCATTGGGTGAATGCTGCTTTCAGGGAGACAGCATGATCTTGGGGGCAAAGGCAGTCTTGGACTGAGGACAATCCTGGAAGAAGGACTTCACTGAAGTCTGTGGGTCATCGTCACTTCCAGCATCTGGGGAATAGCATCCTTACTTCTTCAGCCTCTGAAGAAGAGCACACCCCCGCCTCCACCGCAAAACTTAACACTACCTCGGTAATGATGCTTTCACACACATCCACTTGACTTTCCACTGGTCAACAAGACCCTTATTGATGGGTCCCTGATTTATATCAGGCTCAAAAGAAGCATGGAGGGACTTCACTACTGGTCCAGTGGCTAGGACTCCATGCTCCCAATGCTAGGGGCCTGGGTTCAATCCTTGGTCAGGGAATTAGATCCCACACACCACAACTAAGAGTTCCCAAGCAGCAACTGAAGATCACACCTGCTGCAACTAAAACCAGCATAGCCTAAGAAATAAATATTAAAAAAAAAAAAAAGAAAGAGAAAAAAAGGAGCATGTATTTCCCAGATGGTGCAGAGGTAAAGAA